TGACGAGATGGAGCAAGCTTTGGCACGACGTGCATGAATTGAGTTGTCCGAACCCGAGCAGAGTTCTCCATGGCAGCTAGCGGGACAAGGCAGGTAGAGGTGCGTCACCTCGGCACTGCGACAGGGACCGGATGGCCACGGTGCGGCGACAGTGGCACAGGCAGGGCAGGGAAGTGTCTCGTCTCTAGGGCGACCGAATCATCATTGCGGTAGGTGGAATGAGGGGCGGGGCACTCGCCACGTCGACTCGACGGTGGCCGCCACGGCGTTGGCTCGGCCCGCCTACGGCCTCGCCGGCGGCGACCCCAACCCAGTCCCGCGGAGACGAGCGTTGCCCACCCCTGCCCGATGTGCGGCCAGCAGAGCAGCGACCACGGCCAGGAGCGGCCGAGCAGACGTGGCACCAGGCTTGCATGGTGACCGCGGTCATGGGAGCCCAACGCCAAAACGGCAACACGCACAATTTTTAAAGCGACGCGAAAACTGCTAATGACCCTGGATAAAGTTCAACTAATTTCCCTAATCTCAAGCCCGTAGTGCCAACTATCTAGCGAAGCAATCGCTAAGGCTAGGGAGTAACTCGAGGAGGAGTTAGATGCATGCCAACATGGGCTTGCCACGTCGAACGCCCGTTCGCGAACAAAGCACCGAAATGTGATTCACCACGCGTTCTAAGGAATTTGGGCAATTTTTATGAGCACAACGTGACTCCCATCGTGACTACAACCTATACCATACTCAGGTACTCACCTTGATGCAATCAACTGTACAATTACCTAAAGCTAGTATTTAGGTATTTTAGCTAGAATTTAATTACCAAAACAGCATTGTCTACTACCTTTTCATACTTAAAAAATTAAAGGTTTCAGTTTGAACTAACATCTACTAGCGCTTTTGCTAAAATTTTTAATATGCCTAAACCTAATTAATTTCAACCACTAGGCATTTCATACACTAGTCCATAGGTCATACTAACTCGTAGAAACAAAACATCTCAGAACTATTTAACTAGTTTGTTCAATATAACTCGCCAAAAATGATACTTTTAAACATAATTTCAAGTGTTCTCAATTTGAAATCCGAGAAACTCCTTTTTTTGTTAATTGCTTTTAGGCCTTAATCTAGGTTCTAAGCAACTCGTAACACCAGAGGTGTTACAAGACAGTAGTATAGTACATATTCAAAATTGCCATATATTTATGTGTATGCATAATCTCTATAGATATCTCCATCCATACCTAGAAAGACTCTAACATCATCATCTACTCGGTGATACAAAATCTGGATCGTCCCTTCTCACGTGTCCACTTCCGATATGAATCCTCCTCCACTTAAAGCTCAACACATCCAAGTCCTACCCAGTTCCGATACAAAGACTGGATCCAAGTATCCGTGTCTGATACAAAGTCCTCGGATCTAACGCGTCTACGTCCGATTAGGCGATTACTGAGGTTCAGTTCAAATAATCATGACCCCGGTGCAATGAACGAGCATATATCTAGTATATGTATCTAAAAAGACTATAACGTTATCTTCTATTCGGTGATACCAAATCTCGACCCCTGCTCACGCGTCCATGTCCGATATGAATCATACTCCAATTGGAGCTCACGCGTTCGCATCCTACCTAGTTCCAATATGAAGACCAAATCGTGTCCGTATCTGATACGAAGTCCTTGGAGCTCATGTGCCCGCGTCCTACCCGGTTCTCATACGAAGATCGAATCCACATGTACATGTCCGATACGAAGTCCTCAAAGCTCACGCATCTGTGTCCGGTACTGATGTTTAATGTAAAAATCATGGCCCTTGGTGAAACGCACGGGCATATATCTAGTACAATAAAAAATAACATAAATGAGAAATCACATTTCACCAACTATGTAACAGTAAACCGTTTGGAGTATTGTGGGTTTGTGGGTTTGGGTACAACACCCCAGACCCACGCCGACAAACCCGCTGGGTCTAAAAACCAAAAAAAATCATTTAAGTCAAATTTAGACATAGAGAGGTGAAAAAGGTCAAGCAGGCATGAAATGACCAAGTCGATGTCTAGAGGAGGGAGGTGAATAGGCTCTATAAAAATTTCTTGCAGAAATACAGATCAAAGCCACATGGAGTACAAAACCCGGACTAGCCAGTTTCCAAAACCAGCCAAGCCGATTTTCCCTTCAAACCCGCAGTGAATTAGTTAACACCATTTCCCTACTTTCCAAATCAATTCAAACTTAGCGTGTGACTTCTTGATGAATTCCTGAATTTATTCACATAGTCCTTGTAGTCATAAACACACACAAACCAAGTAGATACAAGCAGAAGCACAAATATGCAATATAAATATAAATAACAATTAAATGCAATTGTGAGGCAAACCAAACAAGGAGACACAACAATGTATTTCCCAGAGTTTGGATCCCCACTTGAATCCTATGTCTGTTGTGGATGCCGCGAGTGACCACTTCGGGGTGCACTCTAGCGGGTTTCTTTCAACCAGTTTCCACACTCCACTAGATGATCTTTTCCCTTCTGGGGGCAAGCACTACGGGGAACAGGAGCTTGCAAAGCCACTAAAACACTCACATGGCAAAAATTCTATCGGCAAACTAACTTTGCCGAGTGTTTTTTGTCGGGCACTCAGCAAACAATTTTTCAGAAAAAATAAAAAAAAACCAAGCCGTTGTCTTCTCCTCCCTCTCGCCGCGCCGCCACCACGCCGCACCACCACCACGCCCCACCACGCCGCACCACCACCATGCCGTGATGCCACCACGCCCAGGCCGCCGCAACAGCCACGCCTGCCACCACCACCACGCCCGTCGCCGCCGGATCCGGGAGAGGGAGGGCCGAGAGGAGGCGGCGCCGGTGAGGGAGGAGGGAGGAGGGGAGGGAGGGAGGGGGGGGCCGGAGAGGGAGGGGAGAGGGAGGGAGGGGGCACCAGCAGAGAGGGAGGGGGAGGAGGGGAGGATGGAGGGGGCGCCAAGCGGGAGGTGGGAGGAGGAGGAGGAGGAGGCGGCCATGGGAGAAGAAGAAGGGGGAGGGAAGGGGCGCGCGCCGGGGAATTAAATAAGATTTTGTCCTTTGCCGAGTGTCCTAGATCTGGGCACTCGGCAAAGTTTTTTTTTCATTTTTTTCTTCTCCTTCTTTCCCAGAAAAAAAGATTTTATTTCTTTGCCGAGTGTCTTAGATCTGGGCACTCGGCAAAGTTTTTTTTCATTTTTTTTTCTTCTCCTTCTTTCTCAGAAAAAAAGATTTTATTTCTTTGCCGAGTGCAAAAAAGAAAACACTCAGCAACCTCCTCTTTGCCGAGTGTTTTTTTTGACACTCGGCAAACCTCCTGTTTGCCAAGTGTTTTTTTTGCCGAGTGTTTTTAGCGCAGCAGTCGGCAAAAAACTTGTTCGCCGAGTGCCCGAGGGAATACACTCGGCAAACATAAAAACACTCGGCAAATTTGACGTTTCCGGTAGTGAAGGCTGCAGCCCACACAAACTTCCCGCGGCACTCCACAAACTTGGGTGCTCGCCGGCGACACCTAGCTATCTAGAGCCAAGGTCTTAGAGTAAAAAATGCTTCACCATGAAACTTGATGTTGCCACAAAACTGCTCAAGGCTTAATTTGCTCAGCTCACTAAGGCTCACACTAGCTCACAAGGCTCAAATCTATCTCTCCATTTCAATGGATATGGCAAATATCACTCAAATCCCACAAAGGGTGAATTGAGAGCTCCCACAAGGCTATTATGAAGTTAGAAGACTATCCAAAGCATTAACAACCCACCAATGGCCCTGGGATAGACTATATATAACTTTCCCAAAAAAACTAGCTGTTACGAACCTGTCAGTGAAAACTGGCTTGGCCGGATTCCTAAACTATCACAAACCGACGATGAAAACAATCACAACCGGCAGTGGAAATGGTGTTGCAAAAATGTATCATGTAGTAATGACTAATGAGTGAGCATTCATGCTTGCACTTAGGTCTATGCCTATTAGCGACTGCATGTTTGCTAGTTGCTACATGGCTGATGATATGGGCATACGGTTCTTATTCGTGTTTGGTTGTCCACCAGCACCAATGGCCAGAACGTTAATGTTTCTAAAGTAGTGCATGTATTTTATTATTGAAGGCTAGCAACAATACTTCCTCCATTTTAAATTAGAGCTCATTTTTAGTTTTGTTCTAAGCTAAATTCGTCTAACTTTTAGCAAGTTTTTAGAAATATATATATATACTAGGTAGCGTGTCCGTGCGTTGCTACGGGATAACTAACATTTTATACTAAAAACACACGGATCGCACGATAAGATAACAATACTGTAAAAATTAAATACCAACGTTAAAGTGACATTTAATCCAAAAAGTAAAATTTATGAATTTAACACAGTCACGGAGAGCGCGACGTCGCAGGCTCACAGGCTCTACTGTATATATCTTTCCGTGATGCGGCTAAGATAATATTTTATATCGGCAAGAAGAAATCTCCGATATTCATTTCTTTCGTGCGCCAATAAATCCACGAATAAGTTCCGCCGCATCTTCATACCATCCTATACATAGGTTCGAGTATATATGTAAATATAGGTAAATGCTCATGCATTGCAACGGGAAAAAATAATGTTACGATAACATATGTATGAACATGTGTTGTACTATTACCTATAAGTATGATGTACGGAACACCAATATTACATAAGTCTTTATGTTGTATAGACCATTATAAAGTTCAAGAAATCATTAGTATTTTATCTTCTAACTTGACTATAAACCATCAGTTTAAGGGCCCTAGCATGCATGAAAAAAGACAAAGGTAATATCTTTCAAAACAAGATAATTAGATTTGGACATGTAACTATAAACGTATCAGACAACCATCTGGACCAATTCCCAACCTATAGAAGTATATATCATTTGTTAACAATCAATAGTGCAAGGGAGGTGTCATGCATAGTCCCTATTCTAGGTTGTTTGTTTGTTCATCATGCAATTGCAAGCATTTCATAATTTAAGCACATACAGAGTTCTTAAGCTGTGTGCCTGATCCAAAGCTTAAGTCGCCAGCTAGAATCGGCAGAACTCTTGAGTCCACAATTGGGTCAGATATAGTATCCGTGGGTATCTCATTCTCTAATTCACGAAGGATGGCATTAAACATAGCAATATCTAAATAAGCTACACAATGCTCCATCACCTGATAGAAACATAAAAAATTTCATGACTTCACATAAAAGATACCGTTACCAAAGAAACAAAAATCAGCATCTGAAAGCATACCAATTTTGCCAACACTGGTAAACATCCACACTCATGTCCACCAGCACGAACAGGACAACTTCTGCGGAATGCACCATCAAATGCAGTTTTCCAGAGATCAATAGAAAAACTCCTATGTTGTTGATCACCCAGAAAGCCCTAACAACCTCCCAATCTTTGGAGTTGACAAATCTTCTACAGGGGTTTGCATGTGGGGTGTCATTGCATGTGAAATGAAAATCCTTTAGAAAACTAAAAAATGAATTAGTTTGCAGTAGGTTTTACTCATCACTGTTTTACAGGAGCCATACTTAGCTTTTTGGAAAGTGCCAAGACAGTAATAGGGTTAACCTTTATATGCCACCACATCTTCTCCAATGCATCTACAATGTGCTAGTTTCGCGCCAATCATCTAGCAGCTTCATGATATTGGGTATACTTGCCATTGTAGTTACTTTTCCATCGTGTTGTAGCGAAACTCCTCTCAGGCTTCTTTGCACCATTTGTGCTGAAAACCTTAAATGGACTTGAGTGCCGTGAAGTACCAAATGTTTGTGCAATGATCTCTCAGGACAAATGTGTTTGATAGCCAAAATGTTAGCCTACATCAAAATTAGGTTCTGAAAGAATTGATGCTAACAACAATAAGGGAAACAAGCGATAGAGCATAGTCATAATTTACCTTGAAACATCATTGCCACGAGATTTTGAAACAAGCAGAAGCCTAGAAACTGATTTTTTTGCAAATGAAGCTTTCCTATCTGAGGACCAAAATTTTGATGCATGAATGTAAATCCTAGATAAATGGGGAGCTAGCGTATGAAACTTATGTGATGAACAACCATGCTCTAGCACCACAGAGTAGAGAGAAACCTCAAGAGCAGCCTCACTATTTTCATACAAAACTTAGTTGTCATTATCAGCTAGGTTTTCTTCAGTATTAGCAATTCCATAGTCAGTGCCCCAAATCTGATCACATTTCAGAGTTTCATCCAAATATCGATCTCCTTTGCCTCTTCAGTGGCTTTACCTTCAATCTCTCTGTCCTCAATGGCATTATCATTAGTTACTTTGCTCTGAATAGGTTTATCATTAGTGACTTGGCATTCAACGGCCTTATCATCCTTTATTCCGTTCTCAATGTCCTCATCATTCTTTGCTCTGTCTCAACAGCTTTGTCATTAGTGGTTCTGCCTTCAACAGTGCTATCATCCTTGATTCTGCCTCAACTGCTTTATCATCTATGGGTTATTAGTAAAAAAAGAAAAAATCCATCTCAAAGAAAAAAGAAACAAAACTTACACCATTTAAACATGAAAAGACCAGATAAATATTAAAGCAATGGATATTAGTATGATTGTTATTTTACATCTACAGGCAACAAATCACGAATGAATCATTGATGTCTAATGGAATGCATAAATAACCAACGCCAAGTCATAAATTAAGGCTGTTGAGCTAAAGAAAACAGGGAGACAAAAACAACCATTTCCCTTGCTTATCTGAACAATCCAACAGTTGTTGCTGCTTTCACTTCACCAACAGAAGATAAATATCAAGTCACTGCTAGTTTCTTCCAAACTGTCATGCCTGCTTGTTCATAGAGGTGGGAACATCATCACAAGATTATGTAAATTCGATTAGCATTCTATCTCTTTCTAGCAAGAAGCCAATTATGGCTACCAGCTCAAGATTATGATTTAGCAGTACATACTACCACCTTATCAATTCTAGAGCTCAGAGAAATGATGTGGTAAGATATTTCACTACCTTAAACAGTCCCTGTTTGTATTATTACCAGCAATAATCTTAGTATTTTTTTATGAAACTATCCGAAGGTATAAAATTACACGTGACAATCGAGTCATGCAAAGATTAGATAGAAAATATCAACGGTGTATGAACCCCATCATCTTCTTCCTCATCATCGTCCCCAGCATCACCCTGCTCAATGGCTTACCATGGTACAGCGGCAGATTAAGCACCATACAAAAATAGGAAAAAAGATTATCAAGGTTGACTGAATTTTGACACTGGTCTGTACACTCACAATCACCGATTTCAATGAGCGCCATCAGCTTGTCGTCAACGTCGAGCTCCTCGGTGTCCTATAGGGGGCACGCGAAGGCCTCGAGATCACGTACTCGCCACCGGCAGCATCATGTATGCCCGTTCCTGCAAAAAGCAAGAGGAATCAGCAACGATCAGCGAAGTGCCCGGCCTGGGCGCAATCGACCCCGCGAGATTGGCCTCTTGCTAGCTCCTGGACAACGTGGGCGAGGGCAAGATTGCCTCTTGCTAGTTGAGGCCAGTGAACGGCCACCTCCCGTCAGCCGGCGGCGCGACCGCCACCGCAGGAATCGACCGCCACCGCAACGTGGTAGATAATCATGTTCGGTTGTTTTGCATGAAGGAAAATCATAACCTCTTGATGAGAATAATTTCTTATTTGATTTGATTGATTGATTGATAGTAGTTTCCTTTTGCATGCAAGAAAGTTATATCACAACAGGCATGATGGTCGTGCGAGGGAGCACTTCCTTTTGCATGGAAGGAAACTGCCAAGATTGCCACCGCACGCGGGTCTCATGCAAGAAAAATCAACAACTGTCGTGATTGTCGCACACGAAGGTGGGATCGATCGCATGGGGTGGCAGACGGATGAACCAAGGCAATTGTCGCACCAAAACGATGTCCACACTTTGTTCTTTTTAGTTGTAGGATATATATATATATAAATTATTTCCTACTCCTAGTTACAACCATGTGTATATCTCTAGATTTAGGGAGTATATAGCCCGACGAAATGTATGTAGATGGAGTATATCATCATACTAGACCATCTAGGGTACTATGTATGACAAGTATGTATGTATACTTAGAGTGTATGGTTATACTTATTTTATATGCTACTATCATAGTATTATATAATATATTAAAAATATCTGCTCTTTTGAAAAAAAATTCACATAGTAAAGATCTGGAGTATGTACATATACGCAATGTGATTTATTGATTATGTGAGTAACTACTCGAGGGAGTATATAAAATGCACCATATATATATAATTATATAATTTATCCTACTCCCAGTGAGTAGCTACTCCCTCTCTTAATCTCACATGGATACACCGTCGGAACCATCTCACGGCTGACCGTGGTGGGTAGGTTGCCTAGCGGGTTCAAAATGGCGGACCCGTTAATCCAACCTATATAAGAAAGTTTAGCGTTACGGTGTTTAGGGTATTCGGCTGCGGTGGCGGCTTTCAATTCGCTAGTTTCATTGGGCGGCTTTCCATTTCCTTTTTCAGTGCCACCATTTGCAGCAGGGGCCTCATCGGGACGGTCGCCGCCACATGATTGTGACTGGCCACCAACGTGCCTAAAAAGGGAGGAGTCTGACACCGCTCTGATCTCCGTCGGTGGTGCGATAGCTGCATGCGTTCGTCGGTACGCACTATCTTTTTTCTCAATCTTGATTTGTTGGTTCCAATCTGAAAGCATCTAGGCCCCTAGTTGGGTTTCGGTGATTAATGACAATACGTGATTACTGTGACTAACGTGTGTTTTGCAGATGCAATTAAGTTAGGTCACGGTAATGGAGATCGATTGGGCAATCATGGTGGTCATGCCCCTACGATGGAAATCGTTTCGGTTTTCAAAGGATGGACGACAAGGTTAAGGATGGACTAGTTCTAAGTGTCGTTTGGAGTTGAAGAGGCACTTAGAGTAGTTTAGGACTTTGTTTTTCCTTTAGCCGTACTATTAAGGGGGGTATGGACAGGTAGCTTGACCTAGGTGAGTCTAGTGAGTTAGGTGTGGTGCACACTTGCTAAATCTAGCACTAGGTAGCTCCAAAATAGCCCTTAGATCCAATAGAGCAAACTTCATTCACATATGATCGAGAGTTGGAAGTGAATGGAGGGTCAAATATTGATCGGACGCTGGCTCCGGTGTGACCGGACGCTGGCTCAGTGTCCGGTCAGTTCATTTGACCAAGGTGATTTCGTCTGGTGCGACCGGACACTGAGAGGTGAAGTGACCAGACGCTGAGGGCCAACGTTCGGTCGACTCCAGTAAGGTTCCAGAGAGGGAAAATCACGACCGAACGCGTCCGGTCACACTTTAAACACTGGAGTTCGGGGTGAACTGACCGGAGCATCCGGTCAACATGACCGGAGCGTCCGGTCACCCCGCAGAGGCACATAATGGTTCATTTTTCAGCCGGTGTTATAAATACCACCTCCACTCGTGTGTGGGGATACTTTTGCTCATTCCAACAACTGAGAAACACCTTTGAGAGTGCCAAAAAGAGCAAGGCCCTAGTGAGGTGATTGAGATTTGAGAATCCCAAAGAGAGCCCTCATTAGTGATATCAAGAGTAGCAAAGTGTGCATCCACCCTTCTCATTAGGCTTGTCGTGGTCAAGTGAGAGTTCGTGCTTGTTACTCTTGGTGATCGCCATCACCTAAACGGCCTAGTGGTGATTGGGAGCTTGGTGATCATCCGGAGAGCTTGTGGATGACCCAACTCAAGTTGTGAGCGGTTGTGGGTGATTCACCACGATGGAGTGTCGAAGAATCAACCCGTAGAGAGCACTTGATCCTTGCGCGGATCAAGGGAGAGCTACACCCATGCGCGGGTGCTCCAACGAGGACTAGTGGGGAGTGGCGACTCTCCGATACCTCGGCAAAACATCACCGCGTTCCTCCTTCTCTCTTTACTTTGAGCAATTCAATTCTTGTCATTTATATTCCTAGAATTGCCATGCTAGAGTAGGATTGGAACTTAGGTTCCTAAACTTTTGTGTGTTAGATCAATAGAAACACTTTCTAGGCACAAGGGGTTAATTGGGCTAACCGTAGAGTTTAATTATTGCAAAGAAATTTAGAATTAGCCCAATTCACCCCCCGTCTTGGGCATCTTGATCCTTTCAATTGATATCGGAGCCTCGTGCTCACGTATTTAGGCTTAACCGCCTAATGAAAGATGTCTCATGGGGATGGACCTCCTCCTATCTTTGAGGGGCATGATTTTCCATATTGGAAAATCCGCATGGAGACGTATCTAGAAGCTCTAGATGTTGGAATACTTAGAGCCGCCTCACAAGGTTTCCCAAAACCTCAGGATGCCACACACCCACAAGGCGATGAGTTGAATTACGAAAAATGGAATTCAAAGGCTAGAAACACCATCTTTAGAGGCCTTTGCAAAGATGTGTTCAACCGGGTGAGGAACCACAAAGACACCCATGCACTATGGTCGAATGTTTGTGCGCTCCATGAGGGAACGAAGAGTGAGCGTGAGGAACGCTATCATCTTGTCATGAAAAAGATTAACTCTTTTGAGATGCTTCCTAAAGAATGTGCTAATGAAATATATTCACATTTGAATGTTCTTGTAGAGGAAGTCAATGGGCTTGGACGTACTCAAATGCAACCATCCGATGTTGTAAGAAAGATCTTGAGTGCCCTCCCCATTGACAAATATGGGCATATTGTGACCGTTCTTCATCAAGATGATCTTTCCACCGCTATACCGACACAAATCTTGGGAAAGATCAATGCTCATGAGATGTATATGCACATCACACCACAAGATGGCTCATCTTCTATCAAGAAGAAAGACAAGGACTTAGCATTCAAAGCTAGTCAAGAGAAGGGCAAAGCAAGACTTGGGTATGAGAGCTCAAGTGATGATGAAGTTGATGATGCAAGTCTTGCTCTTATGGTGAGAAAAACCACCAAAATGCTAAAGAAGCTCAACAAGAGTGGCATCAAGTTTGATGGCAAGAAGAAGAAGTTCTTCACTAGATCTAGAAGGAAGCCAATCTCCGAGATGGAATGCTACAATTGTGGAGAACTTGGTCATCTAGCTCACCAATGCACAAAGCCCAAGAAAGACAAGTTCAAGAACAAGAACAAGAGCAAGAAAGATGACTCAAGTGATGAAGATGAGAAGAAGAAAGACAAGCCATACAAGAAGAGAGATGGCAAGAAGAAGAAGAGTGGAAAGGCATACATCTTCGGTGATTGGCTCATGGACATTGATTCATCTAGTGGCTCATCCGATGATGATAGTGACAATGAGAAGGTGGCTGCCATTGTTATTGACTCATCATCATCTTCACCGCCACCATCGCCATCATCCTCTACACACCTATGCCTTATGGCCAAGGGTGAATGCAAGGTATCAAATGATGATGAGAGTAGTGGTGATGAACATGCTAGTAATGATGATAGCGATAATGATAATGATGAATATGAATCACCTTCTTATGATGATCTTGTTAAATTGTTAAATAAATACTCCAAGATCATTATAAAGACTAGAGCTAAGAATGACAAGCTAGAAGCTAAAAATGATTCTCTTTTAGCTAAATGTGATATAGCCAAAAAGGCTAGTGTTGAGCTTAGAGAAGCAAATGAAGTTATGTCATCCAAACTCAAGGAGTTTAAATCTTCGAAGAAAGAGCTTAAAGATAAACATGATAAACTTGAGAGGATGCATAAAGAGCTCATCACTAGCCATAATATGCTAAAAGATGAATATACTATTCTTAAGATTAATCATGATAATCTTGTTATTGCTCAAGAATATTTATCCAATAAGCCACATGATGCTACTAACAATGTTGTTAAGATTGATATAGCTATATCATGTGATGATTTGATCATTGAGAGCATTGAGCAAAGTTCTAGTAGCAAGGGCAAGCAAGTGGTTGAGGCCGATGATTATGATGAGTTTGTCAAGCTCAAGAATGACAATGAAAAGCTCAAGAAAGATCTTGAAGAGATCAAAAGCCACAACACTATTGTGCTAGAAACTCTTGATCATGATGGTGAGTTGATGCTTAAGAATGAGAAGCTCAAAGAAGAAAACAAAAAGCTCAAGGAAGAGAAAAACAATGATGCTCTTAAGGAAGAGAACAAGAAGCTCAAGTTGGAGAAAGAGCGTCTCAAGATTGGATTGAGCAAGTTCACTAGAGGCAAGAATCTTCAAAGTGAGCTACAAATGAACACCGTCATAAAGATGGATAGAAGTGGCATTGGGTACTTGGCAAACCAAGAGAAGAA